CACTGATCCAGCAATTTGTGAACAGCCAGCTTTTAGAAAAGGTGTCAGTATTTCTCACCTTTTTTTTTCCTATGTAATCTAATTTCCTGGGAAATTATTTGTAATGATTTATGAAAATTTAACATTCTTCAAAAAATGATCAAATATGTAATGCTTTTAACTTATAATTACATTTTTTTTATTAAATTTACTCAATTAACGCCTCAGTTGACTTTTAATGTTCAGTATATGCATGTATTGTTGTATCTCAAACTAGTAAAGCCTTTTCTCTAGGGCTGATACAGTTTATGTATTAATCATAGTTAATTGATTATTGATCAAATTGCCAACGAATATAGTAATTGATTAATTGTTATCTGGATTATAAAGACTGTAATACTGTCATTAGCTGACAAAGCAACCCACTTGGAGCAGGAATCACACTCAAATTGTGAAAAAATATATAAACATTTCTGCATTTAAGAAGAAAAAAAAATTTCTTCTCTTGATATGCTGTATCCAGAACTCAAGTGGAAATTTTTTTTCACCTGGTTTATCCTCTTTAAGGAACCTTTTGCTATCCGATTAATAATCAATCGACAGATTAGTCAATCTGCAAATTAGTCGTTAGTTGCAGCCATAGTTTACGGGCACAGCAAGTCTAAGGTAGACACATGAGCCACCTTCATGATGGATTTAAACAAGCTACACACGCCAAACAGTTGGAGCCATTAGGCTGCCTTCTTAGGACCTGAGACACAAGAAGTGAAATAACCTTGGTGGTAAAGTCAGCCTTCCCCATTGTTGGAACACTTCGGCAGACTCCTGACGAACCACTTTACACACAGGTCTTTATTTGGGCTAGTATTAGATAGCTTATCTCCAGAATTGCCCCTAACTGTACAAACAAAGCACTTTTGTTTCAAATCAAATATAATTTTACTGAGTTTTTTTTTTTCAGACCATGAGAAGATATTTAAGTTAAGCTACTGGTTTACATACAAAATAATAACTCATTAAAACCAAGGCTAAAAATATATTTCTAAACTTTGAACTTTATGTTGGAAATGAATATTCATACTTGTATTTGGTCTCATTCTGGATCACTGTAACAGTCTTTTGACTACTGTCACCTAGGGTTGATACTGAAATGTTGTATCCGGATACAATACTCGTTTTTAAAAGTATCGATACAGTGCCGTCACCAGTGGCACCTAAGCAGTCATTCAGCTAAAGTGCAGAATAGAGGACAATGCACTTTCAGAACACTGTGTGATTGAATAATTCTACGCACTTTTCAGTTTCAGACTTTTTTTTTGTAACAGGTGCAGCTGCTGAGAATTATTTTTGTTTCTTAGCCGGTTTGGCTAGTGTCATTGTTATGTGTGCAAAGCATAGCCTAGGAAGGAACACTTAATTTTAATTTGATAAGTTTTTTATCAAGCTTGCTTAATATTATGCACAGCATACAACCTTTATTGTGTTTATTTATTGTATTTTATTTATTAATGAAAATATTTCTGTAGACTTTTGGAGTCTTTGTTTCTATCCTTGTGGTATCGAAAATGGTATCGAGTATCGAATATTTTCCTTAGTATCGATATCGAGTTGAAAAGTTTAGTATCGTGACAACCCTACTGTCACCACACCTTAGTCCAGGAGAAAAGGTAATGCCTGGAATGAATCAGACGTTGGACGATCTGATTGAATTGTCTCTGTAATGAACCTTCAGTTTATGTGTTGAGAATCGGATCTATAGAAGTGAATTGAATTTAATTCAATATTTTGAACAAAAAAAGATTTTTCAGTCAATTCAGAATGCTGCTGCAAGGCTGTTAACAAACACAGAGAACAGCAATTCCAGTTTTAATCTGTTTCCATTGGCTTCCTGTACATTTTTAGAACCAGTTTTGAAACGTTAGACCTTACTTTTAGAGCCCTGTATGTTTAAGCCCCCGCTAGCTGGTGTGTCGCCTCCATCTTTTTGTCATCTTGACTCTGCTTAACTATTTTGCTGCTATGATGCTGTGAATGTTAAATAATTTACGTTGTATGCCTTATTCTACATGTTTTTTTATCTGTGGAAAGTGCTACTTAAATAAGCCTTTGAGAGAACAACCTTTGTTTGATTTGACAGGCTTATGGAGTGAAACAAGTAACCAGCCAGCGCCTAATTTCAACTAAATTAATGCTAATAGCATAATGATGCAAGGAGATCATCTAAAAGACCATTAAACTTTTCATTTCTAAAGAATATGTTACGCTGGAATTGTAAGATATTTTCAGTATTTGAAATAAATCAGCAAAATGACTAAAAAATGGACTCCTGGTCTCTGTTAACAGAAATGTATTTGAGTGGAGCCCAAACAAATTCAAATAAAATCAGTAAAATGGAAAAAAAAAAAAAAACACTTGCTACCGAAAAAACAATTAAAATGAATTTTTGGATTGTTGGTCTTTTACTGATTAAAAGGCTGCTTCTATTCAGACTGAGGAACTTCACTGTCTGAGTCTGAATAAGATGAAGAGCTGTGATCTCATTGACTATTGGAGGTTTTGGAGTCTCTTTGTGACATCTTCCAGCAGGCTTATAGCTAGGAATACACCTTGGTGTATCACATCTTCAGGCTTTGCGTGGCGTAGGGGGTCCGAGGGTATCCTCCCCCAGAAATGTTGAAGTTTAGACTCTGAAACACTATTTCCTGCATTTTGAAGTGGAATGCAGCTAACTTTTGTTACAACGCTTCTTTGGTCCTGATTAAGGGAAGTATGTGTGCTTGACTAGAGGTGGAAATCTCATAAGGAAGACATGAGATAATTATGCTTCATAGGTTAATTCAAACAATCAGAGAGTATAAAGCTACGTTCAGATCGATTTGAGCAGCAAAAAAGGGCCCGCTGCTTCATTTTTGATGCTTGTACTCGTTAAGATCAGATGCATCTAAAGAGCAAATTTGATGCTCCTGTAAAGTGTCCAATAAAGAGTGTCTGGATGTGTCTGCTGGTGCTCCTGTGTTCAGTAGCAGAGAGCGGCTTTGCTATATTTGCTTTGATAAGTAGTTTTAATATATTTTAATACGAGAAAGTCGAACCAAAACATCCGCTCAGACCGCCACATACCGGCGTCACGCTGTCACTGGGAATCCTCAGCAGCACCTGCCTCAGGCCCAGCCACCTTTTGGAGGGGATTTTCCCTTACTGTTCTTAGCGACTGGAAGTACATGTTTTTCAGCTAAATGGTACAAGCTGCAGGCACCAGAATCATAAGTGAACATATTTTGTCGTCATTTTAAGTTAATTTAGGCGTTAACAAACTGATACAGTGGAGGGATCATAGTGATCTACATCAGCACTGCTGTAAGTCTCCCTGTTGCTCCCAGATCAGCTTCTGATTGGTTGATATGCCGCGTCAAGCAACAGTTTTTCCAACTCCAGTTTCTGCTGCTTGTGAAAAACAGGCCGAACAAATGTATCTTTTTCTTCTTTTTTTTTTTTTTTAAGTAAAGGCTGTACTATTTTCACCCATACGCATTTCTATCTAAAAGCCTGTCTTCCAGTCTGGGCGGCCAGAGCTGGGCATGCTGCCACTTGGTTTGAACTTCCTCCACATGTGAACTAGTTTCTGTAAAGTGGAAATGCTAATGTCGAATGCTTTTGATGCCTCTTTAAATCCCTTACCAGACCTGTGATCCGTTTCAATCTGCTTTCTTAAGTCATTAGTTCTTACCATGATGTTCACCTTCACCTCAGTTGTCACAAGGTTTAAAGCCTCATAATCTAGATACACCTGAAAAATTAATATTGAATGTCTTATGCTGCGTTCACACCGGGCGCAGCAGAAGCAGCGAGTTTACATGCAAAGTCAATGGTTGACGCGCGTCAAGGCGCAGCAAAAGGTCCTGCGGCGCGTTTTGAGCAGCAGGCGCAGCGCGTCTGAGCAGCTGAAGCAGCGCGTCGGGCGCGTTTAAAGGTACACTATGCAACCGGTGTTGATTTTCCAGCGAGACTCCCCCCAGAGGGCGAAAGTAAAAGTGCACTGTCGTAAATATGCACAGCTGTTCTCCTGGTTTCTCCGTCAAGCCAGGCGCGGTTGTTTTGAGCTTAGCAGACAGGCGAACGCAACGAATGACTAATGCTGCGTTCACACCGCAGCTGGCGCGACAGAAGCAGCGAGTTTACATGCAAAGTCAATGGTTGACGCGCGTCAAGGCGCAGCAAAGGAGCAGCAGGCCCAGCGCGTCTGAGCAGCTGAAGCAGGGAGAGAGACACAGCGCTGATGATCAGAGGCTATGATCACTCCTCTTAAACAGTTTATTGACGCCTAAATTAACTTAAAATGGATTATGAATGGATTTGGATTATTTAGATGAAAAACACCTACCAGCTGCCGCGGTGAACCGCGAGGAGGCGACCCGGCCAGAGGCTGCTGTTGAAGGGATTCCTACTGTCGGCGCACCGCTGGTATGTGGGGGTCTGAGCGGCTCCGACAGAAAAAATATTGGGAGGCAGGATAATAACCTGAATGAACTGACTGCACTGATTACGTTTTCAGGTGGATTTTCTCACTTAAAAACATATTAAAACTACTTTATTCCCACTGATCACAGCAAATATAGCTGCAAGGCAGAGAAAGGATAGTGAAGCTCTTTTAATCATTATTACACATTATTAACTGTAAACACTTGGGAAAATGCTCCTGCCATTTAGGCTATTTCTGAATAGAAATGTTTTTTGTATTGGTTGATATTTATTATTGAGCAACTAAAACTGAGGAGCTTTTTAAAAAAAAATTTTATTGTTTAAATGAAGCCTGACTGGAAATATTGTCCCCATTCCAGTTATGTGTTCCTGACAGAGTGCAGCAGGTTGATATAAAAATAACTCCACTCTCTGCAACCTTTGACAACCTTCAGCAATCCCTCCTAGCCACATGTATGACATTAGAACATCAGAGTGCTCTCCTTCCTGTTTGGAAGTCTTTCACTGAAGTATTCATATATTTATTTGTTCTTGCCGTGCAGGTGGAGTCATTGAGGAACTCGACAAAGCAGCTCTCCAGTAAACATCATGGTGAACATCCCAGAATACTATGCAGGGAAGAATGTGTTAATATCTGGAGCAACCGGCTTCATGGGGAAGGTATGCTGGTGGTTCTACTGTCATTTGAAATTTGGCCGAAGTCTGAACTTCTACTTGGAAATCGTTCAGTTGGATTCCTGTCACTCCTGAGTAATGCAGTAAAATGAATAACGAGCCACTGAATGGAGTGCATTTATAGCTGCAAGAAAAGTGTTTTTGTTTAACTAGATGGTTTTTAATTCATTTAGTTGTTTTCAGTCTTTTTAAATTAAATAGTTTGGGCCATTTGTTACATTTTAATCAATTTTTTTTTTTAATGTTCTAATACATTTATTTCTGCATGCTCTTTTTTTTTTTTTTTTTTTTTTTTTTCTTCTGTTGGCTAACCACAATTCCCTCCCCTTAAGAAAAACCCAAAATCTCCAACCTTTGCACAAGTATTATTGATTAAAACTGTTTGAATGCTCCTTTGGAAATGGGATTAAATTCTGGATCAAAATTCCGTTTTCTTATGGATGTTTTCTTTTCTTCCTTGTTTTTCAGGTTCTCCTGGAAAAGCTGCTGAGGTCCTGCCCAGAGGTCAAAGCAGTTTACGTGTTGGTTAGGTCAAAAGCCGGCCAGAGTCCACAGGCGCGGGTAGCTGAAATGGTCAACTGCAAGGTGAGAGGTGGGGTCAGTGGTGAAAGATGAGAAGCTCCTGAAAAGCCTGTTGGACCGGTTTATTATCAGTCCAGTCATTGTTCTTTAAGAGCACAGAGGAAACTCTCACTTATCCCTCCCCAAACTGCTGCATAGTTTACATTACCTGTTGTTATTCATGCGGTTGATTTACTTTTGCATTCAAGCAGTTAGGATGTAAAGCAAATTTACCACCTTTCAGCTACATTTAAGCCAGATCTGGTATTAAATGTGTCAGAAGGCCACTTAAAATGTGCTTTAGGAAGTAACTGGGCTGAGAAATCTTTAAAAAGTCTTCTTGTTTCTAATCAAAGATGTCAGCTACATGAAGAAGATCAGGAGTGCCTCAGAAGGTTTTAATATAAATCCAAAATAAAAAAGTTTTTCTACATTGGATGATAACGATGAGTAATGCACAGATTCTTCAATTAGCCAAGACCTTCAGAAGAACAGTTGACTAATTGAAATTTGTATTTACTTAATTGCATCTTAATTTTTTATTTATTTGATTTGGAAAATTGTAAGTTGACCATGTGGAGTCATGGTGGAAGAAAAATATTTTTGTTCATTTGGATTCCTATGTAATTTATTTAGATACAGCCCCGCACACACTTGCATAACCATCCATTTATTAGAGATACCAATTAGGAGAAAGCTGGAGTACCCAGAGAGAATCACAGCATGCACAGGGATAACATGCAAACTCCCTCCATAAACATCTATGACAGGGAATCAAAACAAAGACCTTTTTGATGCAAGATAGCGAGTGGATGGAAAAAGTCTAGAAGTTAAAATGGGACCAACCTTTAAGTCCTTAAGCCTTGAAGATTTTGAAGCAAAAGCCATCAATGGAGATGGTTTTATTTACCAGAAGGACTTTGCTGCTGTTGAACGCACCCGCAACTCCTTTAATAAGCATGACACGACTGATCAGGATAACCTGCCTGACCTACAGGGAATCTATGGAGTAATGTCAGAATTAAGATGATCGACAACAAACCAAATGGTGCAGAAGAATTGAAGAGGACGAATAAAGCAAGCTGTGTTTCAACAACAGCTCAACAGAGCCGCAGGCGGATCTCCTCCATGCTGTGCTGCATTGATGCATGAATTCAAGCAGAAGTAAACAAAACAAAGTGCATCCACTCTTAGTTAGCTTATATCTTTTAGATGTATTTTTTTCTAATGTAAAACTTTTCTGGGAGACTTTTAGAACTGAGCCAGTATCATCACAATTACCTGTAATAGATGCTTCACATGTTCATTACCAAGAAAGCTCGCCTGTCAGCTGTAATGATCCCTGACTGTCGAGTTATTTGAGGTAACAGCCTTGATTTGAGAAACTGAATAAGGAAGAATGAATTACTCAAGAGTTCTAATGAACAATTGCAGATTGGTGAAAGCAGGAACAGACCCAACCTCAAAAACCTATCGGGCTGCATTAAACAGGAGGAACAATGAGCCAGATAAGGGAAGTTTTTACATAAACAAAATGCAGCAGGCAGCCAGGCCGGCTTGGTGATTGGATGTAGAGTATGGTAGCGTGCAGAACTGGGTCACTGATGTCAGAGTTTGACCCCTTAAATGGAAAAGGCATTGTCCTCTAATCAGTCAAATGGTTTCAATCAACTTTATGGAGCCAGGATAGCTTTTCTTCAATGGTCCATTAATACGAGGTTATAATTGGTAGCGATAATCTGTCATTATTATTTATAGAGGTTGACATCCTAGTTGTTCATTTATTTTTAATCCTAACTCTTAAAACTTGGACTAAACCGGGCTGTAAAGAAGAAACTCTCCACCTGTGTAGCTCTGATTCACTGGGACCTGTTGGGGTATTCTTGATGGTTTGGATGTGTTTCTGGTGACTGATAACTTATTAACTATTCAATACAGTTTATTTATATAGCGCCAATTCACAACACATGTCATCCCAAGGCACTTTAAAATTCAACCAGATCAATACAGTCAAATTGATACAAAGTTTTCTCTCTAAGGAAAACCAGCTGATTGCATTGACTCATTGACTCAAAGGCAATCCCTCACACTAAGCTTGATTGTAGCGACAGTGGAGAGGAAAAACTCCCTTTTAACAGGAAGAAACCTCCAGCAGAACAAGACTCTGTGTGAGCGGCCATCTGCCGAGGCCGACTGGGGTTCAAGGAGACAGAAGCAGAGATACAAAAAGCAACAGTAAAAGGCGGCCCCGTCCAGGAAACACACAGCGAGGCAGACGAGCTCCGAGCCAGCTCCCATGTCAGAGGATGAAGAGAGCACATCCAGCCAGTTGTAGAGAAACAGGACTACACTGAAAAAACAGGCAGATCCCCAAAGTCTATAAACAAAGGTGTTGATTGAAGCAGCACAGCTGATATTTCTCTCCAGGATGGAGTCACAGCCAAACAGGAACAGACGAGGCGAAGCTATGAGGAAAAGCAGAGAGGGCATAACATTACATATTGAACTAACAGATTCTGCAGAGTCAGAGAATAGAGATAGAATGATGAAAAAGGGGTCCCTATGTCCTCCAGCAGTCTAAGCCTATAGCAGCAGAACTATAGAGATAGCTCAGGATAACCTGAGCCACTCTAACTAGAAGCTTTATCAAAAAGGAAAGTTTTAAGCCTAGCCTTAAAAGTAGACAGGGTGTCTGCCTCACGGACTAAAACTGGTAGTTGGTTCCACAGGAGAGGAGCCTGATAACTAAAAGATCTGCCTTCCATTCTACTTTTAGAAATTAGGAGCAAAGTGCTCTGTTAGGAACATAAGGAACAGTCATATCTCTGATATAAGATGGAGCTTGGCCATTTAAGGCTTTATATGTGAGGAGGAGGATTTGAAATTCTATTCAAAGATGAATAGATAATGAATAAAACTAAAGGCTCTTAAATTTGTGTTTATTTTTAGCTCCTCCCTCTGGAAGTCAAAGCGTTTGTTTTTAAACAACCATAAAATTTACAAATGTTTGCACCTTCTCATTAACATAGGCAAATGTCTTATTCAGACTATACTGAAATAGCTTTTCTAATTTGCGGAATAACTCAAAATTATTTCATGAGTCCAAGTCTTAAAGATGAACTAGAAAAGCATTTAGACTCCCAGTGTGAGCCTTTTATCTGACCTTTAGTATTTGTTGATGCGCTCGTGTCGCTTTCCTAATCCACATCCAGATCTCCTTAAACATTTAGCCTTTATTTGTAGTCGTTCTTAGACGATGGTGGTTAGTAAATAAACCTTGTTTGCTGTAGTGCTACCAGTCCTTCCCTTGTTTATGGTTTATCTTTGAATTTTTACTGATCTCCAGTAGAAATGAGTCACCTATTTTCTGAGGAAATCAGCAGAGCACACTGCTAAGCTTGGCTAAATCATGCAGAAAATAATCAGATTTGTTCCTGTTTTAGGGCAAAGCTACCAAGCTTTCAGGAAATTTCTTTCTTCCTTTAAAGATTATTATACAAAAAAAAAAATCTTAAAATAATTAATTGAAATCATAATTGATCTAAACCTACTGTAGAACTAGAGGATTTAATGCTAATGAGGTCAAAATAGTGTTTTTACTAAACATTTATATTTCTTACACTTTGTAGATTTCCTCCACCTTCTGTAATATTCTGCAATAGAAATTTTAAAACGTGGTTGCAGCTGAAAGATTTGTGTTGTGCCTTAAGCTGGCAGAGCAGACTTTAAAAAGTTGAGCTAATGTTTTAACTTTTTTTTTTTTTTTTTTTTGTATGCAGAGAAGTTCTGATATGGTTCTAATTCTTTATGTTTTGTCTCAGTTGTTTGAAAGATTGCAAGCGGAGCAGCCAGACTTTGCAGAGAAGATCGTAGCTGTGAACAGCGACCTCACGGTACTGGAGCTTGATCTGAGCAAAGAGGATCAGGGCATCCTGGCTGAAAACGTAAACATAGTCTTCCACTGTGCTGCAACAGTCCGCTTCAATGAGCCCCTCAAGTGAGTGAAAGTGTCTATATTTTATTTTATTTATATCTTTTTGGGATTGTTTTTTAAATATCTTTGGTGTAACGATGATTAATCATCAGGCAGGAGAGTCGGTAGGAGGTTTGCTGGCCCTGCTCCAACACAATGGGCCCTCTGTTTGCAGTACAGAGAAACAGAACACCTGGCACACCTTTCTGTTTCTCCTAAGGTTAAGATGCAGCTGCTTATTAAAGTCTACTTCCCACACAGCCTGTTAGAAAAACACAGGAAGAACAGGTTTCCTTATCTCCTACCTTAGGTGGTCTTAAAAGGCTGATTTCACCAGTATTGAGTACTGCCTTTTGATTTTTCTAAGAAGTTTCTTCGGGAACTTTTCAGCCGTATTGAACTCGACTTGATGAAGCCAAAACAATTTGGCCTGTTTGCTGCCAAATAGCTGTGCTCCGTGATGTTTCAACACGCAGCCTCACATGCAAACACCTTAGCTATGCAACGATGAGCATTTAGTGTCAGATTTATTATTGTATGAATAAGAGTGAGAAAAAAAGGAAATTCTTAAACCTGATAAATCGAAGGAATTGGCATTTAAGATATTCTTCTTGCCTTCCTGTCATGAGAGGTGATTGACCATTTAGAGGCCACAGCACTGGAGCAAAGTTATTCTCAGCATAGTTTTTTTTTTTTTGCATAGAATTTTTTATTATTTATGTTTTTATCAAACTTTACCATCACAGGAACCCCAGCCCTTGTATTTCATCCAGATCTTAGACCAATTGTTTCCTAACTGTCGGCTAGCTTGGCCAAAATGCTCATCTTTAAAAGGACAAAAAAAAAAGAAGTTTAAAATATAGTTTAAAGTAAAAATAAAATCTATGAAATATATAAAATCACAAGTTTAATGTAGCAAATCAGTATTTCTATAATAAAAAAAAAACATTTTTATTTCTCTTTAAAGGGGTGATAGAATGATTCTATAGGGTATGTGGTCCTTAAGGTCTCTGAATAGGGTGTGTAACATTGGTTGGGCTGAAAATGGCATATTAGCTGTTCTATGAACCCTGATGCAGCCTGGTTAAAAGCCCTAGAATGAAACGACAGGTTTTCTTCCTTTTATGGTTTGATCATGAATATTTAGAGGAGCTGTGCTCTGATTGGGTGATTTACAACGAGCTGTTGAGCAAAAACACATCATAGCAACAAGCACCCAGATATGCTATCAACAGCTTAGCGACAGAATAATAGCAACAGCTAAGGGTTGTGATGGCCCTATGGTCGGAACAGCCTCTCATTTCAGTTAAAGAAGTTTAGCAGATCCTGCTTTGAACTGTCCAAGGTTTAGAAAGCTGTCTTCAGTAAAATGCTTCGAGCAAATGAACAGCTGAGCATCAAACTTAGCAGGGATCTTCTGATAGACAAAAATAATCCATGCCTGTCGAGTCTTCGGATCCTTTGGAAGACTGTGAAAATGTTCCCCTTTCTCCATGCAGCCTGGAACACTGCATTTCTGCCCGTGGTTCTGGCTCATTTTCAATAGAGAAACGTCCTGCTTTGTGATTCTTGTAGAAATAAACCCATCTGTAGGCTAAACAGCTAAACTGGTGTCTTACATCTACCTCTATTCATGTTCTTTGCCAGTGAACCAGTGGGCTGGTCTGTATGTCAGTTTCAGGGCGTGACAAAAGTACAGGCCAGAACCAAATAAGGCAACATCCCCGAATTGACGTCACTTCAGGGTTTCGTTTGGATTCGCCGGTTTTACGGTGGAAGTTTAGAATTGTGAGATTTGCAGAGAAAGGAGGAGTCGATGGGGCTTGACCTTCTCTGTTCGTCCATTTCACCCATTGAACTATCGTTATTCATCTATGACAATGGAAATCGGTTTTGCGTTCTATGACCACTTTAAACATCTTTAAGATTTCAGATGTTGATTCTCTTTTACCCTCTCTAAGCTCAGCCTCCATAACAATGCTTGAATCTCTCGTTATGTTTGGACAGTAATCATCTACACGGAGTTCCTCTAGCCGATTTAAATCGCTCTAATCCCTTTTCTCACTTCTGTTTTTGGTGCTTTAGGGATGCGATGCAACTGAATGTCTTGGCTACACAGAAGATGCTGGCGCTGGCCCACAAGATTAAGCATTTGGAGGTCTTTATTCACGTATCCACAGCGTACGCCCACTGTGACAGGGACCTCATCGAGGAAGTCGTCTACCCTCCTCCTGTAAACTACCGCAAACTCATCGACACTCTGGAGTAAGTTGTCAGAATGCACATTGATGCTTGATAACAGGAAATGCTGTGTATTACCCGGAGTCCTGAATGCAGTGGACATGGCAGCTTTTGCCCTGTTTTGATTTATGCTTATGTAGAAGCGTGTTTAGAAGCAAAGCAAAGATCTGCCTGCTCTGATTACAGCAAGGCGACGGCGACCAAACACCTGAACTGTTCTGTCACGTTGCAACAATCAATCAGGGGCTGGATAAGGCTGTGATGTAGGGTGAAGGAGTCCAGCAGAGGAAGATTTTTCATTTTTTTCCAATGAAAATAAAGATGGAAAAACAAGATGACATATTCGAGGGCTTTTAAAGAAGCCGTTTGAGTTTGGCTCTTGGGAGCGTTAATCATTTGTCGCCCTCTTTAAACTGTAGAGCTGCTGCCCCGCCTCTGACCGGCAGAGGTGTTCTTCCTGACCGCCCTCACCCTGTCAGAATTAGAATAACTTTATTAATCCCATTAAGGGTAATTCATCACATCGACCTGGTCAGACAGATGCAGACAATCAGATGAGTCTGTTCTACAACCTTCAACACACAGCGGTTGGAAATACAAGCAGGACGCTTAGTTCAAGTTTTAAGAACATAATTACAGGTTTAGAATCTGAGATCAACAACAAAGGAATGTATTCTGTGCCCCAGATAAACTCGTTGCCCTCTTGTTTTTTTTTTTTTTTGGTGATATCGGTGTTGACATCAAATTGGAAGTTGTCGTCAAACACATTTCCCAAATATTTGTAGTTGAAACTCCGGCCCAGCTGTGATTGATTCACTCACGGAAAACAGATGGGCAGAGATTCTGCAGCAAGTACATGGCCGTTTCTCAATGTGTGTACTTGTGCGTTCTCGTTTGCTCGTGTGCTCGTGAAACGCCCTAGTACTGTTCCAATTCACAAGAACAGCAGACCGAGAACAGAAAAAGTCTCCGGATGTTGTTCTCGCCCCTCACTATTTACCCAGCATGCGTCAGAGCAGACTTGTCCGTTCTTGAGAACGACAGCTGTCCCAGCATGCACTGCGGCAGCAGCAGCTGTCAATGGAGCGCTCGCAGAGCTCCGAGTATTAAGTTAAAAGTTCTCTTTTCTGTTGCTGTTGTTCATAAAAGTACATTTCAAGATAATTTGAGGCGAGAATATAATACTTTAAAGTGCCGCTATATGGTCCATTTACTGATTTAATGCGTAATAATTTTTTTTTTAAAAAGTTGAGAGGACCGCGAGAACCAATGGACCTGAGAAGCTAACGGCAGCCAGGGCTAACGTTAGCCCGTCTGCAGCGGCTCTCTCTCGGCATAGCTGTGTGAAGGACCGCTGGCTCTGATGGGAATGTTTTTTGTTTTATTTGGCAAAATGTTCATTTGATTTCTGTTTATTTGACTGTGTTAATTATTATTCCCACAATAAATGAAAAAAGTAATAATTTATTATTATCTAGATACTATTAATAAGGTGAAATGCAGCTCTAGACGAGCCGGGCATGTGGTGACACCCCTGTTCCAATTGACCCAGATTTATTTTGTGTGCTCCCGTTCTGAGTCCATACTTTCCTGTGTTCTTCTCAAGAACATACTTGGCGAGGACACGCGTCCGTACCCGCGTTCTAGTGAATTAAGAAACGGCCTATAGCTCCTGTAGTTGGTGTCCCGCAGGATGATTGTCCCCGTACGTGGGACAGCAGGTCTTCAGACTGACTGCTGTAAAGGACCGTCATCCGGACCCCGCTGCTGGAGCAGCTGGTGGTGAACTGGTTCCGTCTCTGGAAAATCTGTTGAACCAGGAGAAACTGCTTCCCATCATGACTGAAGAAAAACTGGCTGAATAAAATCCAGATGCAGATGGAAGCTCTGATTGGAGGTGGAGCGACAGGAGTGGACCTCGACATCCACCATGCAAATTGCTGGCCAAATGTGAAACGAGCGGCGGCACCTGAAGGTGACATCACTGTCACTGGGATCATGTTTAGTGTGAACCAACAGGATGGCATGAAGAGTGCACTACTTCAGCCATGTTTCTTTGTGAGGAAACGCAGCAGTGAATCTGCTGAAACCAACAGAATTTGAAGTGACTTTTATCCAGCTTTGTTTCAGCTTTGCTTCATTTTCAGGGTTTTTATAATAATTTTTAACTCCATTCACTTCAGGAGTATTGTATAAACTTTTTGCTTTAGAATAAGATTCCTTTCTCTGCCCAGATATAAAACAAAATAACTGCTCAGCTCATGGAAAGAAAAGCAAAGCAGTCATTTTTCGAAGCCCAAAGATGCTTAGATCTTAGTTGCACTGGAACAGTGTTAACTTTAAGAACCGGTCTGACAGGTCGACCTGGAGCTTAATCCTGTTGTTTTCTTTGTACTTCAAGGATCGTTTAGTTTGACTGTTGATTTTCGACAAACAGGTTTTCACTTGTAATCTAGTAACACCCATACTTCAAGAAAACTGGTAGTTAAAACAAATAAAATCAAATTTATTTGGTCTGCTGATTTCCTTTAAGAGATTAACATGTCTGAGAACAAATAAGGAAACTCATCTTTTTAGTTAATATCAAATTATTTATATTTAAAAATGGATTTCTGGCTAAATGTTTGTTTATTCCTCATATTTTGCTTGTAGGTCCTAAAAATCCTTCAGAAATATAGAGAAGGATTCAGTGCATGTATGAACCTGAGTCTTAACTTGTTCATCTGTTAATGTCATTTAGAGAGTTATAGATCTTACTGGTCTCTTTGAGCCACTCCTCTTACTTTATCCTCTGTTTTTGATTCGCGTTATGCAGATAGAAGATCAGAGTTCTGCCAAAACTACTGACATTAATAAATATCGATATGAGCAGTTTTATTTAAAATGCGCTCATTAAAGCTTGAGAGCGCTGTGGAGGAGGATTAACTGATAATTGTGACATAATGAAGGCCTCATGGTATTAAAATTGCACACATATGTTCAAAATACACCTGAAGAGCAGATTATGCCCATTTGTTTAAAATAATAATTGTAACTTTCTATGAATCTCACACTGGAAATATTCACCTCTGCATTTAACCCATCCTCTCAGGGAGCAGTGGGCTGCCATTGTGCGTCTTGCAGGGAGCAGTGTGGGGTTAGGGGCCTTGCTCAGGGACCCAGACTGGAGGCTGTGGGGATTAAACCGGATACTTGGAAGATTCTCAGATCACAAGCGCGCTGCTCTAATCCACTAGGCCAACACTCCCCAAACTTCTCACAACTTTTGGCAAAATTCATGACAAATTTAAAGACGGAAGCAGGACCAAGACTACAGGTGCTGGTCATAAAATTAGAATATCATGAAAAAGTAGATTGATTTCAGTAATTCCATTTAAAAAGTGAAACTTGTATATTATATTCATACATTACATACAAACTCATATATTTCAGATGTTTATTTTGTTTAATTTTGATGATTACAAATGACAACAAATGAAAATCTCAAATTCATCATATCAGAAAATTAGAATATTGTGAAAAGGTTCAAAATTGATGGCCCCTGGTGCCACACTCTAATCAGCTAATTAACTCAAACCACCTGCAAAAGCCTTTAAATGGTCTTTCAGTCTAGTTCTATAGGCTACACAATCATGGGGAAGACTGCTGACTTGACAGTTGTCCAAAAGACGACCATCGACACCTTGCACAAGGAGGGCAAGACACAAAAGGTCATCGCTAAAGAGGCTGGCTGTTCACAGAGCTCAGTGTCCAAGCACATTAATAGAGAGGCGAAGGGAAGGAAAAGATGTGGTCGAAAAAAGTGTACAAGCAAGAGAGATAACCGCACCCTGGAGAGGATTGTGAAACAAAACCCATTCAAAAATGTGGGGGAGATTCACAAAGAGTGGACTGCAGCTGGAGTGAGTGCTTCAAGAACCACCACACACAGACGTATGAAAGACATGGGTTTCTGCTGTCGCATTCCTTGTGTCAAGCCACTCTTGAACCACAGACAGCGTCGGAAGCGTCTTGCCTGGGCTAAAGAGAAACAGGACTGGACTGCTGGTGAGTGGTCCAAAGTCATGTTCTCTGATGAAAGTAAATTTTGCATTTCCTTTGGAAAATCAAGGTCCCAGAGTCTGGAGGAAAAGAAGAGAGGCACTTCATCCACGTTGCTTGAAGTCCAGTGTAAAGTTTCCACAGTCAGTGATGGTTTGGGGTGCCATGTCATCTGCTGGTGTTGGTCCATTGTGTTTTCTGAGGTCCAGGGTCAACGCAGCCACATACCAGGAAGTTTTAGAGCACTTCATGCTTCCTGCAGCTGACCAACTTTTTGGAGATGCAGATTTCATTTTCCAACAGGACTTGGCACCTGCACACAGTGCCAAAGCTACCAGTACCTGGTTGAAGGACCATGGTATCCCTGTTCTTAATTGGCCAGCAAACTCTCCTGACCTTAACCCCATAGAAAATCTATGGGGTATTGTGAAGAAGAAGATGCAATACACCAGACCCAACAATTCAGAAGAGCTAAAAGCCACTATTAGAGCAACCTGGGCTATCATAACACCTGAGCAGTGCCACAGACTGATCGACTCCATGCCACGCCGCATTGCTGCAGTAATACAGGCCAAAGGAGGCCCAACTAAATACTGAGTGCTGTACATGCTCATACTTTTCATGTTCATACTTTTCAGTTGGCCAACATTTCTATAAATCCTTTGTTTTTATTGGTCTTCAGTAATATTCTAATTTTCTGATATGATGAATTTGAGATTTTCATTTGTTGTCATTTGTAATCATCAAAATTAAACAAAATAAACATCTGAAATATATGAGTTTGTATGTAATGTATGAATATAATATACAAGTTTCACTTTTTAAATGGAATTACTGAAATCAATCTACTTTTTCATGATATTCTAATTTTATGACCAGCACCTGTATTAAGACTAGTGAAAGCGCAACTTTATGTGCACAGAGGATGAATAACAGATTGTTTATAATGCAGATAACTGATGTAAACTGTAATCATGTTCTATGGTGAAATGCATGAAAGTAAAATACCTTGATTATTCTTCATGCACCAAGGCAGCCTGCTGCTTTTAAAACCAGAAGAGTTAATATCACAGGTAATGAGGTGAAGCTACTAAAGGCTCAACCAGAAAAGCCTCTTTAGAAGGCTGCGTTTCTCCAGTAGAAACATCGGAACTCTTTAATCTGTGGGAGGGAAACTGAATATATAATAAGACGTGTCTGTTTTCTCTGCCCTCAGCTGGATGGACGACGATTTGGTAGCAACGCTGACCCCCAAGCTTATCGGAGAGCGTCCCAACACTTACACCTTCACCAAAGCTTTGGCTGAGTATCTGGTTCAGCAGGAGGCTGAAGAGCTCAACGTCGCCATCATCAGACCCTCCATCATCGGAGCCAGTTGGAAGGAGCCGTTCCCTGTTAGTCTTTATGCCGTTTCAGGAGGGGTTTTGATTAAAAAAAAAAAGGGTTTTAAAAACTTCTCCACCTATTAAAGCTATTATAATGAAAAGAAGATGGTAATGCAGAAAATGGTAATCAGTGTGAGTTCATCTTTAGGTAACTAAAGGTCTGGTAGTGTCTTATTTCACCTCCACCTGTGGCTAAGAAGGTGTGAGATTCAGTTCTGGCCCGGATGATCCTCATAGCTTTGTTGGAATGTAAAAAGTATCCAGTAACAGATTTGATTTATGATTTGAGAACAAATAATTGCATTTTTTTTATATCTGTTTTGTAAATTGGTCAGATATACAGGAAAAAATAATGTAGGTTTGGTCGGTTAATGATCCTGTTTTTCACTCGATGCTTTTTCTCTGATTCTGTTTCAGGGCTGGATCGACAACTTCAATGGACCCAGTGGGATATTCATTGCAGTAAGAGATTAAATTAATATAGCCGTAAAATAATTGGGTTGATTAAATCATTTTGAAATTGATCAGAAACCAAAAATTACTTCCGGTAGCTTGGAGCCCTTCCAGGATGAAAATTGTGATATTGTAAGGATAGAAAGCGTTAATACCGTTGAAAATGAAGCAATTTTAAATTTTCCACAAAAAAAAACAAAAAAAAATGTTTATAAAGCTACACCTATTAAAGCTGCAACAGTGCTGTCCTGAAACCACAGATTATAACTTCCAGCTGGTTCAAATGGAAATGAATAGTTTCCTTCTAACTGGAATATTTCAAACGTAGTTTCTTCATGAACTCTGTGCACGAAAAAGCACAACATGAGCAAAGTAGTATGTTTTTTTTTTAATATCTGCCAAAAACCACTAAGAGGCTGTAGACTTTTCAATATTGCTTTTTTGTTTCCGGTTTGACCCAAATAGCTGGCAGTATTCCCGAATGTTAAATTTCCCTCCAATCTGTACCTGTGTAACATTGAAAGAACCTTGAAGAACCAAACTATTTACCAAATGACAAACGTTCAGACCTCTGGAGGTAAAACTGAAATTCCATTACCATAAAGTTGCTCATCTACATGACCATAGTGCAGTTAAATGGGCTGATTTTCTTTACAGTGGTCCGTTCACACCCTTAAAGGAATAGTACACCCAAAACATGATTAGCCTTCATTTTCTACTCCCCCCCATGCTGAACAACACTCTGGAGTACTTTTTTGATATCTCAAATGCATCTGGAGATCTGGGAGGCTTCTTGCTGTCTGCTGACATTCAAATAATGGAGGTCTATGGCGCCCGAGGCAGAAAGGTCCATAAAAGTCCACAAAAAACGTGTCAATATTCCTCCATACTGCTCGTCCAATGTATTCCAAGTGTCCTGAGTGGGTAGCGTCCATAATTTACTCGGAACGAAGTCATTTAGAATGTTTTTAGAGCATAAACAGGAGTGTATAGGATTTCCTGGATGGATGGATAGTTTTTATTCAAGTGTATTTTTAGTTAACAGAGACTGAGAGTTCATTTGATTTTTATTTCTCGTTTTATTTTGTTAACCAGTTCCAGTGTTAAGTGTTCTGTTGAAAATAAAGTGCGTTTATCTTTGGCAGGAAAATGCATGCATTATTATGTCATTTCCATTAAATCAGTGTAAAAAGGTCTTAAAACAATATTATTGTTTATCGCAATAGTTTTTGAGACAATCTTTCAGCAAAATTTGTTATCGTGACTGGCCTAGCACTGTTACTTGTCCATAAAAAAATAAAAATAAATCTGTTCTGCTGGATTTTCTTGAGAAACCTGTGCAGTTGTTGTCCTTTAGATTTGTTTTTCATATATTAATGCTGACCACCCTGCAGGAGGAGAGATCACAGCTTTGTTTTAGTGTCTGTCTCACTGAAAGCTCTTGGACCAGCTGCTCTGATTGGTTGATGTTCCGTGTAGAGCTGCAAAAGTTCAGATTTTCCAACTCTGGCCTTTGCTGCTTTAGACGCTCGATGCCAGGAAGCTCAGCGCTGCCAGAGTCACTGCTCCATACTCTCATATCATGCTGCTGGACCTTTCGATGCGGTCACCCATTGCATATAAACCAGATGCCCTGAACGTGCCATTAGGCTTTCTGCTGATTCCATTAACTGACACCATATCTGATGCTTCAGGTACATGGTTCTCTAATCAGCGGCATCCCAGGGATTTGGACCTGAGAGGATAGAATTGTGGTCTGAACTGTATTTCTTTGAACTCTCCTCTGTGGCAGGGGCGGATCTAGAAAAAAATTTATGGGGTGGCAGGAGGGGGGCAGGAATTTTTTTAGGGGTGGCAACACATGGCATTTGTTTACACTGAATTTAATCACAGTTATCACAGTTTGGTGAGAATAGTATGTACAGTACTAGTGTTTCATGTGAAACAGTTCATATTAATAATACATGGTAGAATGTGATCTCACTTAATAGGAGATAGAAGAATGATAACACTACTTCTAGAGGGGCCTTATCACAGGAAAGGTATTAAGGTAAGACACAGGTGCTGAGTATAGATGTGTGAGATTGACTGTCAGAGAGGCAGCTTTGCAGCATTTGCACAAGAAGAAACTATAGAAAGAAAAAGTTTCCCATCAGAGATCTATGGACTGAGCTGCACTAAAGTGAGCAGAACTACACAGTAGAAATAAATGGGTCAAGGCGCCCGAACAAGGTACTGGACATCTATGTAATGTTTACTCTGAACACACATTTACCCCATTTGTTCCTCAGTAACTTGACATACAGCAGTTAAGGCAACATGAAAGGGACATTTCATGCATGTAGATCTGCTGTAGATAGAGCTGTATATGGAGGACCAACTCTGCCATATTTAAAAATAAATACAGAAATAAATAAATGCTCAATAAATAAATAAGCATACAATTAATTACCACCAAAAATACAATCAACAAATAAATACAATTAGAAATTATATTATAATGGCAGGCAGAAATGTTAAAAGGGCAGGCAGAAAGAAATAGCGGCGAAGAAATAACTAGGGTAAAAAAATACAAAGGAAGAATAAAACAGACAAAAATATGATAACATGCACATAAATAAATACTTAAAAATATAAGTAATTAAAAAATGAAGTTGAAGATAATAAATGACAAAAAAATAAATAAGGTAAATATTAAAAAGGCAGAGAAATAAAGAAGCCAATTAAGAGTTATATACTAGTGCTGTCAATCGATTAAATTTTTTTAATCGCGATTAATCGCATCAATGCCTAAGTTAACTCGCTATTAATCGCATTTTAATCGCTAATTTTTTTTCTGATTGAAAATCATTTAAATACTCTCGATGACATACAAAAAATACATACAGGCTAGGTTTGTGCCAATGTTCTTTTTTTTAAATGAAAACAGGTCACAGACACTGATTTATGCCATAGAAACATATGGCAAGAAGATGGGGAGGCATGTAGCAAAAAATAACAAATATGTAGCCAAAAAAAAGGCCCTGAAAACAGGCTGATGTAAAAGACAGTCTTTACAGTTAATACAGTCTTTTGAACAAAGACAAGCATTTTACCCTACTGCTATAAAATGTAGTACAGTTAACATTAGATGTTAATTAACCAAGATAATAATGAACAATTTTCAATCAATACATCAAAATCAATAGACCGACATCACTAGATGGAGGTAGTCTATGCTCTAGAAAGTTACTTTTCAGCCTCTTAACAAAAATGAGAACACACACACACCCACTCACCCACACACAGACACACCCTCCCACACACACACACACACACACCCACCCACACACAGACACACCCACCCACCCACACACAGACACACCCTCCCACACACACACACACACACACCCACCCACACACAGACACACCCACCCACACGCGCGATACCGACCTGTGGCGTACACAGACAGCAAGAGTGCCGTAGCAGATTCCATTTCACCTCAGTAATCTGTTTTCTCAGCGTATTTCAGGTTGCTACTAGTTACCAGACACTCAACTTGTTTGTTGGTGGTGGGGCTTAAAGAAAAGGCACTAGCGCCACCCAGTGTATGAGCGTCTTTTTCCCTTGAGGAGCTCCGCTCTTGAAGCCTATGAGAAATGCATAGACTGGGGGAAAATAGCCCCGCCTTCCCGCAGGCTGCAGCGGGATGTACTTGGAAAATTGTACCATAAAACCACATAGCGTTAATCTCACGTTAAAAAAATTATCGCCGTTAAAATGGCCTCGCGTTAACGCGATAATAACGCGATAATTTTGACAGCACTATTATATACCTTTATGACTAGCTGTATAATTTAATTTCTACTTACATTTATTTGTTGTTTGTATTTTTGGTGGCAATGAATTGTATGCTTATTTATTTATTAAGCATTTATTTATTTCTGTATTTATTTTTAAATATGGCAGAGTTGGTCCTCCATACTGCTGTATCAACAAATCAACAAAAAGGCGGGTTCTGTTTGTTACATCAAAATCTCCACAAATCTGAAAAGAAGCAACATAAAAATACATTTTGCTTGTGAGTAGGTTCATACGGGTCATTTCTGGATAATTTCATACTATATATACAAAAAAAGAAACAACAACACTGCTTCATATTAAGCAGGATTTACACCAGTTTCACATTTTTAACTTTTAACACTTTTGGTTTTATTAAAGGAAATATCAGATTTTCTCAGGTGCCAAAACAAAATGTAACGGCTCTGTAAAGGTTCACCAGAGAGCAGAACATAAAGTTAACATGACTATAACAGCTGAATGCAGCGATTTCCATGTTGCTCAGCAAAATGCTTCACAACTTTATCTAGATCCAATGCCTTTGTGCGTTTTGATTTGAGTACAACCAAACTTGATCGTCTCTTTTCTGTCATAGTTGACCGCAAATATGTCTTTATGAGCCTGAGACGTCAGGCCTAACTAACATCATAGATAGAGAAATAACGTTCTGCAACCTGATTTTTATCATCTGTAAATCAGCATTACAGCTATGCTAGCAACATTGTGCTTTCATTATGATTTCATTTCTCGATAGTTAATCAATTTTTACCTGTTTCATCCTGTGTCTCCTCTCCCCATGACCCCTGGCTCCCTCGCTTTGCCTCATTCGGTTTTCAAAACTAATCAGTCTCAGTCACTCTCGCGTCATCTCGTGCTGCATTCACTGCAGTCCGACATTGGAAATTTGCGGTCGTAATTCTCAAATGATCCATAATTTATAAGCCTCGCCACCCCTACCGCCAACTGGGGTGGCAGCAGGGGTGGCAAGGCTGTCATTTAGGGAGACATTTGCCACCCTATGCCACCCCAGTAGATCCGCCTATGCTCTGTGGGATCATTACTCTGGCAAAATACAGGCAGATCGGACTAAATCTCTTGAGATGTCTCCTCCTTTACAAACATGTATGATGTGATGATGTGGCAGACTGGGTGTATAAAACGTTTCTTTAAATCTGATTTGGAGCGGACTTCCTGAAGAAGTGAGCCATGTTGGTAAGCGCTGCCATCGTTAACCCTGAGCAATAGCTCTGGTCTAGTAAGACGACAATTTCTGTCACAACCTGTTGTCATGTCTCATGAATCCTGTCAGTGTGTCGCCTGGGAGACGTTTCTGTGAGCTCCCTCTTGTCTCTTAACATTAGCATATTAACGTTTCCTCTTCTTTCAGGCTGGAAAGGGGATCCTGCGCACAATGAGGGCCTCCAACGACGCTGTGGCCGACCTGGTCCCAGTAGATGTGGTCATTAACGCAACTCTAGCTGCAGCTTGGTTCTCTGGATCTCAAAGAGTCAACAGGTTTGACATCATCCACTTATATTTTGATCAAGTTGTATCTTTTCCTAAAGAGCTGCTTCCTATCTGCAGGCCTAAAAGTCTCCTGGTGTACAACTGCACAACTGGTGGGATCAACCCATTTCACTGGGGCGAAGTCGGTATGATAAACATTCATATATTTACCCGTTTGATTTTCAAGAAGTTCTTATGAAAGCCTTCAACAATAAAAGCTTAAAGCTGCGGTTAGATGCGAGCTCTAATGAAAAACCCTGATTGTAACCTGATCCACTGCCTTCCTCACCTGAACCAGAAGCTTTTGTTCGTCTATTTCTAGCTTGCCTGTTTTTCCACAGGAGGTGGCTGTTGCTTTTACTCCTCCACAAGCATTTGTTATGTGAGGGATATGTTGATATAGGCTTCAAGCTCTTAACATCCAGCGAATACAAACTAAATACACATTTAGTTTCAGCTGGAAAGAGCTTTTTTGATTATCAGAAAGTTTTTTTTTTATGCTGTTTAGCTATAAGTGTCCCATACTCCTAATTATCCAGTTGCCTGCCAATTGACCTGCTATAAGCAAAATGGCGTCTCACAGTAGAGCAACCTGTAGTTTGAGTGCTGATGTTTTTAAACATCTGGAGGCCCAAAAGTGTAACCACAGCCTCCCGATGTCTTGATTTGTGCTCATTTTTCACTTCTGTCCCACAAATCGAAACAATGTCCTGCATTTAACTGGGTTAGATTGGAGGAACCAGTGCCCCGCCTAATGACCAAGCTGCATAGGATGCCCTTCAAACTGAACAGGTAAAAGCCTTTAATACAGAAGATGATGGAAACTTGCGGACTATAAGCCGCTACTACCCCCAACATTTGAACCATGCAGCTTATAAGAGGGGGCTAATTTTTATTTAGCACAAGAACATGCTGGTAGTAGTCACGGCGGAGAACAAAAATCCCGAATTCACACATTTTGACATTTATTTGCCACATTAAAGCTGCCAAACCAGTATTGAGACTGGGCTCAACTCAGAGCTGAAATAAAGAGCAGATGGAGCTCCATTTTTCATTAGGAGCTCTTACTGCTTCAACCCAGCAAGCTAATGGGAGCTAGCATTCTTCTTTCCTTCCTACTCTATATGTAGAGCTCCCCCTACAGGTTTGGTCGGAGACGGTTCAGTAGATATCAGCGGCTTATAACCCGGTGCAGTCTATATATGTACGATTCCAGTTTTTTCAAAACATTTAGTGGGCACAGCTTATAATGAGGTGCCCTCTATAGTTATAGAAAATACAGTAAGTTTAAAGTCTGTAACTGGCTTGAGGCAGTGGTTCTCGGAGAGCTTTTAGTGACGTTTGCTGAAGTTATTTTTCAGTTTGATACAAGGGAGGCATGAAGTGAAGCAAAGCTGTAAAAGAAACAGCTGAAAAAGCCATGTCAGTCCCACACTGGACCTCATTAACTACAGAATTGTCCTATTTTAGTTTTTTATATGTGTTCACTCTAATTCTAAATATAAAACATCAGCACTCAGACCACAGGTTGCTTTAGTGCGAGCAGCAACAATTGACAAAGACTCCTGGATGGGTGTGGCAACGTTTTACCCGGATAGACAAAGAAAAACGTATGTGTTAAACCTGCACTGACAGCAAGTTATGCAGTAAAACCTATTTTACTTAAATGGCCCAGAAACTGATCGACGGTAAAAACATTTTTTTTCCCAGAGCTCAGTTTATGAAACTTTCAAACTCTTGATTAAATTGAAGCTCAAATGTTTCTAGTCCCAACCTCTGCAGCTGCTGGATCTCTTACCTGGTCTGGCACATTTTTTTGTAGTCTAAATTGTTTTTTTCCCCAGCTCTATATTTACGATGCAACTCATCAATATGAAGGGCTGGTCATTACAAACGGCTAAAGGCGCAATAAAATAAACAGTTTTACACTGAAGAGGTTCTGTAAAACAGAAAAACTTCATCACTTTTAGAAGCAAATGTCAGCAGCAGAGAAGGTTGGATTGTGTATCTTTCATGACCTACAGAGGATGACTGAACATACCCCAGTTTAAGCTCGTTTCTGTTTATTTAGATTTTAACCTGATATAAAAAAAAAAAAACTGTCAAACTGATCCAAAAGACCTTTGTCTGTTGATTGGATCTTCTAGAATGAAACCTTTTATTTCAAGTTTCACAAAACTCTTGTTTTGTGTATTAATTGTTTGTTTTCTTTTATTCAGAAACACAATTCCTGGTATATTTATAGTTATATTTTCCCTCTTTTAATTTTTAATTTTTTTAATTTTAAGGCAAAGAAAAACTAGCTCAACATTTACAAACATTATTTTGTTGTTGATCATTGTAGCCCAAATATATTTTATCATCATAGCTAAATTTAACCAAGAGGATTTGATCACCAAATAGTTTTTTTTTCTTTGTTTAAAGATGTTTTTTATTATTTTTTTTAAGCTGTGACCAAACTGAACATTTCTTCAAACATATCAAAAGGAAAAAACAAAAAAATAGTTATTATTGTAATTATTATTTACAGCCTTACAAAAGTATTCATACCTGCTGAAAGTCCACATGTTTCATGTAGAGGGCTGCGTGTTGGAACATCACGATCGCCTCTGACAGTAGGACCTTCCTCCACATCTTCTGTGTTGTTTACGTTTAATTGGACCAACTTCCACCAGGACTTCTCTAGGCTTTCATTTCAACAACAGTTTTCTTCCTTAAAGGCCATATTTATTGTCTATGAATTATAGTTGCCCTTTAGACAGATTCTCCAACCTGAGCTGCTGATCTCTGTAGCTCCTCCAGGGTTACTATGGATACTTTTATTCCCTGCCTGGCCGGTTGATTTAAGCCAACAGGCTGGTCTTTGTAGGTTGGAGATGTGCCCTCCTTTGTTTTAATCCTACATCTGTGGATTCAATTTTCTCTGAAATATTTAGTTTGGGATATAAATTTGAATGCATCTTGGAAGTTGTCTTCATCTCTAAATTGTCTGCTCTGTTCCTATGTATTCATGAGGTTAAGTAACTTTTTCTAAAAAGCCTCTGAGGCCTTAAAAGGAGGTTTAATTACAAGCAGGTTTAAGGTTTTAATGTGGATGTAAACAGTGAAACTGAATTTTATTTGCAGGTATTGGAGAGCGTGGGCTGAGTACCAATGCTCATCATGATTGTAGAAAGCTAAACTGTGGTGATTTGATTATCATCAAAGGCAGTGATTCCCAATGTCCCTCATAATATAGCTGTTTCTCCATAGTCTCACATCAGACCTTAATTAATTGGAGATTAACAGGCTTCTGCAGCCTTTTGATGTCATTTTATTTACTAATCATTTAAATCTGCCTTGCTGAAGCAGAATTGCTTTTAATGCAAAAGACTCAATGTCCAATGTCTTCTGACCACCAGACTCTCAGGCCAAGTATTGACACAAGAATAATCCTCTGGCATAAACAAGCCAGGCAGTGGATGTGAGGCAGGACTTGCTGCTCAAAGGAGATTGCTGTTTTGCTTTCTCCTTTTTTCTATCCATTTTCAATGCAGAGCTCTGTTAGTGGAAAAACCAGTGCAGGGAGGATCCTGTCAGTCTCTCCTCTCTCTCTTCCTGTCTGACTCATGACTTTCACGTGGAATTGCTCTCTGCTGCCAACCAAACAAGTTTAGGCTTCTCTCTCTTGGTCGGCCCTGGTGTTTCATGGACCTAAAACATAAGTCTCCGAGTCCAAAGGGCCATGACCGGGAACCATGGGACTAAGGGGTGTGAATACTTCTTTAAGGCGCTGTAGGTAGTTGGAGTAATGAAACTGGGTTTTATTAAAAACTGAAATATTTTATTATATTAACATATATAAGTAGATGAGTAATAAAATGGTCATAAAAAGTTTGAATTTTCTTTATTTAGGGCCTTTTAAGCAGAATGTATGAAACAACCTTAAACTGGTCATTGACCCTTATGTTGAACAACCTTTTCTTCTTAGAGTACCATGTAATATCCACATTCAAGAGGAACCCCCTTGACCAGGCCTTCCGTCGGCCCAATGTTAATCTCACATCCAATCACCTAATCAATCAGTACTGGATTACCGTGAGCCACAAGGCTCCGGCCTTCCTTTACGATCTGTACCTTAGGCTGATTGGACGAGAGCCCAGGTAACCTCATCACCATCGCCTGCTCGAATGTGCTGTATCTGTGCTTTTCCTAACGGCCGTCGTCCCTTCACGTACACACGCACACCTTCGGTGCTTCACTCTAACTTTCTTCCTAGTGTAGCTGCCTGTAAGCTTAGATGCAGCGCTTCTCTGTTTATTATTGCTTCTGTGAAGTTCAGTTGGCGTCGAAGATTGCATAACCCATGGCTCCAGTGAACAATGGGTTCTGCATTCTTGACGTTTTGCTTCTAGTTTGTTTTCATTTCAGTGTCCAAAATATCAGCTCACCTAATCCGACTCTTAAATGGTCAGAGATGACGTTAGGTTTGCAGAAACACTTTGGAACCACATCAAGTCTCAAGTGCAAAGGAATAGGTTAGCAGAGACCCACCCAGTAATCGGGACTTTCTTTTATCTGTAGGAGGGAATATACCTTCCTCATCTTATCCTCTGTGTCCTCCATGTCCCGTCATGTGTGTATCTCTCCTACAGAGTACTGTGTAAACATGAACTTCAAGAACAATCCCTTAGAGCAGGCCTTCAGAAGGCCCAATGTCAATCTGCGCTCCAACCCCTTTACTAATCAGTACTGGACAACAGTCAGCCACACGCTGCCGGCCCTGCTCTATGACGGCTGTCTCACTCTGATTGGCCACAAGCCCTGGTAAGATCGCATCTGCCCCCTCCTCCCCCCTCACAGTCCTCTTCCTGCTGCCAGTCAAGCCTTCACTTTGTCAAAGGGTCCTTTCTCATTCCTCCCTGATTTTTTTTCCGACTGAGATTACGAGGGAAAGAAATGGGACTGAGGCAAATTTGATTTTTATTTCATCTCTAGGGTTCCTTCTGTACTTTGTCATGACAAAAGGATTTGGTTTCTGTCCAAGCCTTTCTTCTTAAACTTCAAGTAGTGTTTCCTTTGGGAAGAAAACTACTCTGGAAACATTTTGGTCCTTTTCCTCCCATCCTTTCACCCAATTTAAATGACCTACTGTATCTTAAACAGCTGTGCTCAGTCGGACACCTTCGCAGTCCCACTGACGGCCAACAGATTGCCTCAGTCTAAACTCCGCTTTACTATTTGAAATGGGTTTAGCTTTCAGCTAAAGTTGAATCAAATTTAAGAGGTGCGATTTGAATACAATTTGCTTTTTCACCAGTGGCCTCTAGTGCTTTCCCTTTCACCGTTTGCTGGGCATTCATGCATGTTTAATGCTTCCTTCCAATCAGTAACACGCGCTGAGAGAATCAGTTGTTTTAGTCAGCCTTCATTAGTCAAATTGATCTTTTTTCCTTGCAGTGAAAAAAATGGAGCAACCAAACGTTGAATAAAATTCAACACTGGCTGAATTGAAGCGACTTGGATTCTCCTCAGACTGCAGCTTTCCTTCATTGCTTTTCTTTGCACTTTCACACGTTCTTCCTATTTAAGTGATCATTGAAGGGTGATCATTTAACTCACTCCAAATAAAATCTGTCAGCTGGATTTATTTCACTAACCAGGAGGAGGATAAACGTCGAGATTGAGCATATTTAGCATTTAAGGGAATAAATCAATATGAGCATAATGTAATTTCTGCTGTTTAAAGGTATGCAGCCTTTCCTCCTCTTCTGTGCAGAATAAATCCAGCTTGATGTCCTCAGGGAACAAATTTGGTGGCGCTATGGAAGCTTTGATCCTACTTTATTTCATCATCACGCCATTTATTAGTCAAATTAAAGGCAGATAAGCAATCTACATATTTAATATAGTTTAGATTACACATCAGCTTTAACCTTTGTCTAACGTTGACAGAAGAGTATAATTTCAGAACAAATGTCCTATTTTTTTATTCAAATTGCATAATTGAATTATTTTAAAAATAAATAAATAAAGCTGCATTTTGTACACTTATACAGTTAAATGTAAATAATCGAAAGGCAGAAAATGAAAAGTGCAGCAATTTTATTAAGTAAAGATTTTGAAAAACTTTTTTTTTTTTTTTTTGACACTTAAAAGTAAAATGTTTTTTATTTTATTTTTTATGTATCATTATTGTAGAAGAAAATGATAGCGTATTTTGGATGATTTTCAGTCCAGAAGTGAAGATTTATTATATAAAAATAATAATAATAAAAAAAAAGCCTTTCTATGAGACGAAGTAGAAAATTGGGACACATTTGCTTTAATAAATAAGTAATGAAAAAAAAAACACAAAGCAGCTTTTTATCAAAGGAGAGGAATAAAATGAGTATAATGTAAAGCTTTTGAGATGTGATTAAATGTAAGGAGGATCATTTTTAAAGCTGCAGCTTCCCATCTGCCTTTAATTTGTAAAGTTTTATTTCAAAATATTCCAGAATTCATCCTCATTGTTGCTTAATATTGTTGCTGTTTTTAAAACATTTTCTTTTCAACCATCCATCATTAAAGTTATTTAAATATTTCCAGAACTCAAAAGGAAATTTTATTATATTATTATTTTTTCTTTTATAAGACTGTAACAATATTGATAGAGCTAATGGGGCAGAATATGTTACAGTAACCTCCACTCTTATTGTCACTCCTGGTAAAGATGCATTAAAAGCTTGTTTTAATGAAAATCATCCCTTTTTTTTTTTTAAGTCTTAAACTGAACCTGAAAATATGAACTGAATCACATTTTTGTTCAATATGTTTATCTTTATTTTGTCGTTAGACTGTTATTCTAAGAAATAACTATTTCCATAATATCTTGGAAGTTAAATGTAGTAATGTCCTAAGATGAATACGATGCCCAATCCTATTAACGTCAACAGTTAGCTTTATATTTTCTAGATGTACTTAAAGATCCCTTACTTAGGAAGTCGGATGTTGTTGTGGATGTACCATGATATTCCCTCTGTCCCAGTATGGAGGCTAAATGGCTGCTGGATGGCACTGGTGCTCTCTTTAGTTCTCAGGGAGTTTATTATTGTTCCAGAAAAAAAAAAACCCTACTGATAAAAAAAAATGGTTTATTTCAGCTGTACAGTCAAAAATCATTTAATTCTTCACAATCCAGTCAATGTAATGTTAAGGTAAATGCATTTTTTTGACTATACAGGTCCTTCTTAAAATATTAGCTTATTGTGATAAAGTTAATCATTTTCCATAATGTCATTACTCTATGGAAAATGATTAACTTTATCACAATAAGCTAATATTTTGAGTCTTAAAACTTGAACATTCATATATTTTAGATTCATTGCACACTAACTGAAATATTTCAGGTCTTTTATTGTCTTAAGACGGATAGTTTTGGCATACAGCTCATGAAAACCCAAAATTCCTTTCTCACAAAATTAGCATATCATGAAAAAGGTCTCTAAAGGAGCCATGCACCTAATCATCTGAATCTACAAATTATATCTAAACACCTGCAAAAGATTCCTGAGGCCTTTAAAACTCCCAGCCTGGTTCATCACTCAAAACCTCAATCATGGATAAGACTGCCGACCTGACTGCGTCCAGAAGGCCATCATTGACCCCCTCAAGCAAGAGGGGATGACACAGAAAGATATTTCTGAACCAATAGGCTGATCCCAGAGTGCTGCTGTATCAAGGCACCTCAGTGGGAAGGAAAAAGTGGCAGAAAACGCTGCACAATGAGAAGAGGTGATCTGACCCTGAGGAAGATAGTGGAGAAGGGCCGATTCCAGACCTTGGTTGACCTGCAGAAGCAGTGGACTGAGTCTGGAGTAGAAACATCCAGAGCCACCGTGCACAGGCGTGTGCAGGAAATGGGCTACAGGTCACTTTTGAACCAGAAACAGCGGCAGAGGCGCCTGACCTGGGCTACAGAGAAGCAGCACTGGACTGTTGCTCAGTTTTACACATCATTTGGAAATCAATGTGCCAGAGTCTGGAGGAAGACTGGGGAGAAGGAAATGCCAGAAGTCCAGTGTCAAGTACCCACAGTCAGTGATGGTCTGCGGCGCCCTGTCAGCTGCTGGTGTTGGTTCACTGTGCTTTATCAAGGGCAGGATCAATGCAGCTAGCTATCAGTGAGTGAAGCTCCTCGACTGATAGCGTGATTGGCATTTATGTCCAAAAACACACACTGCTTTTACAGTTGACGTCTAACTGAAGTGGTTTATTTTTAAAGGCATGTTTGTAATGGATGAGTTCCTATGTTAAAGCATGGCCACCGCGTTAGCCTTGAAAGGGGCGTGGTCAATGTAAGAGGTTAAAATGGATTTACCATTTATTTGGAATTGACAACTAAATGTTTGGAGAAAAAAGTTGTAAATGTAAAGAAAATTAGCTAAATGACAGAAATGTGACAACGAAAATTGGTTTGATGAATTTTACATTTGGGGGGCGGTACTTAAATGTTGTAACACTTGAATGGATTAGCAAACAGTGTTTCGGTAGCCTCTTGCTGCCTCACTTCTGACTTCTGAAGTCTTAGGGAAGCGGTCGTTCCAACCTTTGCATTTCTGATTTCTCCCGAGTGGTGCACGACTTTACGCGATTGAATAAAGTGAACCGAATGGGGGGTTGTGGCCGAAGGTTCGCAAGCAAGTTTGGTTATGGCCGGTTTCTTGGAAGCATCTTGCTAACCATTTAGTGGTAGTTAGTGCTTAGTGCTAGTAGGTTACCATTGGGAAATTGCATTGGCATAATAATAGTAGCATAATTTAAATCAGGTTTGCTTTAACAGAGATGCACCTACAACCCTGAGCACCAGGCTCCATGTGGACAGAGGATGGGAACCACTGCTCCTAGATGGGCTGAAGAGAAGATGATAGAAGTTGGCATTACCAGAAGTGCAGTCAAGCATGGAGGGAACTGTATACTTCCCTATGCGGCTGGTATATTCTAAAAGTACTTAGTTTAATGGAAATATTTTAATATGTGAGGACAATATTCTGCTCCATCTGGTGAACTCATGGTGAAATGTTTGAAACTGGAAACATGCTTGATTCTGCTCTTTAGCCCTCCCTTTGCCTCATCCATCTCCATTGTTTTCCTCTGTTCTTTCCTTCACTTGCATGTTTTATATGACAGGATGATGAAGACCATCACTCGCCTGCACAGGGCCATGATGGTCCTGGAGTATTTCACCAGCAATTCATGGGTGTGGAACACAGACAATGTGGCCATGCTGCTGTCCCACATGAGCCCTGAGGATAAGAAGGTATTTTTAACCACATTTTTAATCGAACTTTGATTAAATTATATAATCTTGTGAAAATTACCCTTTTTAAGGTTTTTAATTTTAAGAAAATGTTTGCTTTTTAAGAGCTTATCTAATTTATTGTCATTGGTAATTGATTTAATTAGATGGATTAATGAGGCTCTACAGAAATGTACCTCATCTCTTCTTATTGAGCAAAATACACATAAAAATGTTTTTCCAATAGCTTTGGGAATAAGTTAAGACACCTACCATGAGATGCTTCTTGCCACCAGCAGTTGGACTTTCAGCCTCCGGAGTCGGCGGCCATCTAACTCGCTGCTGATCTGATTAAGGGACTATAATTTGGAAGTGAAACACAGAGAACAGGGAGCTATAGAGAACGAATGGCTGAAATTAGAGACCCTGAATCGTGTTGATGCTGAGCTACATGCAACCGTTTGAATATTCAACCTGATATATTCAGCGTGGTAGAGAATGTTGTGTGCTCTGCTTTGCTGCTGGGAAAATCCATTCAGTCTCATGTACCCAGAAGCAGTGTAAATAAAAGCTGTAATGTTTTTATTTAGATTTTTTTTCTGGAATCTATTATGTATTAGATTATCAGATTCACCCTGATGTGTGCACTTTTATAACAAACTGATGCACACAAGGTGTTGATGCACATCTTTGTATTACAGATCACAGCAGCAGTGTAAATAGGAATGACGGTCTGTTTTCATTGATTTATCAAATCAAAAAGTAAAACATTTTCTGTCCTATAATGCAGTGACATACAGATGACCTGATTAAAAAAAATTTTTGGGTGGATGGACAGTTTACCAGACTTTACAGGAACAGAGTGTATCAATCTTTAATAAAAAAATCTCATATCTTAAACTGAATTTTACAACTGAAGCTGATATTGATGTAAAGATTAAATATAGAAAATGAGATTATTTAGAGCAGTGCCTATTTATAGTAAGAGGAAAGTATCCACTAGCTTAAAATGGTCAGGCACTGTTTATATTATTAATACACTAAATTACACTCAAGAACAAATTAAAATACAGACTTAAAAATGTATCATAAAATTTTCCACATTGAAAAGCGGTTGGAAAACAAAATTGTAATGGTAGATAAAACTATCTGAAACATGCTCTCATTACTGCCTGGTTCAGCTCTTCTCCAACATGCACTGGGGCTGGTAGTATGAGTTTATTGGCACTGCAATAATGACAGTTTGCAAGGTGGAATGACAACAGAGGGGAGGGGCGCATGCAGGAAAACCTGAAAGTCCTAACATGGCTAATGCATTTTAATGGGGGATACATAAGAGCATATTCTGTTCCAGAAACTGTGGTTTTATGTTTTAATTTGTGCATTTATGTGACTTACATTTTTCAGTTACAGTTAAAAAAATTCAATATGTACAAATATGTTAGAAAAAACATTTTAGGAATCTCATAATGTTCACATGAATACATCAAATGATGCTTTTTATTTAGGCTAAAATGATGTCTGGGATTTTATAGTTTGGCAGAACCTGAGGTTAGGAAGCTGTCGGTAATGATGGTGAAACAATGGAATTAAAATACTGTGGAAAAATATTTCCCTGATAAGTAGAGATTTTTTCTCTCTGTAGGTGTTTAACTTTGATGTGCGCCAACTGCACTGGGCAGAGTACATGGAAAATTATTGCATGGGAACGAAAAAATACGTCCTCAATGAGGAGCTGTCTGGACTGCCTGCTGCACGGAAACACCTCAACAAGTAAGGCGTCTGTGGATCTGCCTGCATGCAGAGACACTGGCGGGGCTAACATTAGGCTGTACGTTTACCAAAGGTGGCTGAGGGATTTGAAACGGTAATGAGGCCAGTTCTCCGTTTTTGCCGAATGCATAGAGGCCAAAATGTCACACTTCATAATTTTTTTTAACAAATGGTTTGACATGAGTGCCTGTGGAAACCTTGAGAGAACGAAGCCAAATTAAGCAAAAGCTGAAAAATCTGAAATTCGTTTATTTTGCTTACCATTAACCAATCAGGGTTTGGATGTGGCTGTGATGTCATGTGAAGGTACACAGCAGAGGCAAAGCTTGCTTATAAAAGTTAGGGTAAAGTGAGCCAAACGCACAACAGAACTGGACAAAAGTTTTCTGCAGTAGCCATAAGTATGGCAAGACAATTTAAGATGTAATCATCAGAAACATAATGTTGCCTTGTCAAAACTGAATTACTTGATTGTGCAGGTTAGACCAGTTATGGCGCCATAGCTGTCTGATAAATCTGGCAAATTAAGCTGATTAAGAGTTAAAATAGCTTGCCATACCACAGATCTTTGCGACAGAGCTGAAATCCCTAGCGACAAACCTCAGATGAACCAAGCAGAAATTTTGATGTGAAAGAACCTTTAGGTCGTTGGTTTTAGTTTTAAATCATGGGTTTGTTGTTCAATATTTAAGCTTCCAGTTAGGTAATGTAAGCTGCCAGCAGATGGCGCTCAACATACTTATTGATATAATGACTAAGTAAACACTATCAGGATGCATGCTTAGTGTGTTTTGTTTCTATTTGAAGATGAATATATGGCTTTTTTTTTTTTTTTCTCTACAAGAAGCTGCTTAGAAAGTGTAGCGTGTGGAACAGTAGACTAATACAGCGGGTTTAGTTGATCTCTGACGATTTAGGGTTCAAATGTGTGAAAATGTTTTACTGTGCATTGCTGATACATGGCTATGCTTCCCTACTCTGTTATATGTTCTTCTAGGGTGTTTTTGAAACTGCTGTAAGCAACCTGTTTAAAAAAAAAAAAAATTTGCTTGTAAAGGGCAAAAAATGAAAGATTCTTCAGAAGATCTTAAATATTTAAGACGGTGGTAAAAATGACTGCGGTGTATTTTTGTGATCAGCTGAATAAAGTCTAATGTTTCTGCTCCTCCAGGCTGAGGAACATTCGCTACACCTTCAACACCATCCTGGTGGTTCTTATTTGGCGCGTCTTCATCGCCCGCTCCCAGATGGCTCGCAACATCTGGTACTTTGTGGTGAGCCTCTGTTTCAAATTCCTCTCCTACTTCAGAGCTTCCTCCACCATGAGATAATGAACAAAGGACTCAGAGCAAGGAAAGGAGTTGGAGGATTGAAGAACATGGCGGCGGCAGACCATACTCGATACGGTGAAAGGAGCGACACCAGAAACTGGACGAACCTTGAGTCTGCAGTGACTTTAGTCCTTAAATACCCAACTTCTCTCTAACTTGATGGATCGCTATAGAAGCCTTGGATGAAACTCAGACCAGCAGCGATTGGGCTTATGACGAAAAATACCTTGTTCTGTTTCCTTCTGCTCCTTCTGCAAAGCTATGGTGAACGATGCTCTGCTCAGAAGCCTTTTGCTAGTTTGTGTCAGGCTGAATTACTCCTCGAGAGCAGAAGTTATTTCACTCAGCCAGAGATGAGAGATTAAAATCACACAGCTTTTGTCCTTTAGTCTTCTGTTCTTGTGTTGTATGAACAGGCCCTTTTTTAATAAGCTTAGATGGATCAAAGTCAAGCCTAAATTTCTTTAAACGTTGCTTTGAACACTGATATTTCACCTCAGTGCATTTTCTCCAGTGGGGGCATCAAATGTTTTCAGGGTTTTTTCGCCATCAGCTCGCTGAGTTAAAACGCCCCACCACACACAACTGCAGACGCTTTCCTCCACCATTAAGGCCGCTGTAAAGCAACGTTTTAGGCTGTTGGGGTGGTGTTTGTGCTGAATCATGCCTTACAGGAAGTACTCGCTCACCCCCCACCCCGTTTCTGCCGGGCGAAAATAACCTGTCAACAACGATGCAGTCCCAAACTTCCTCAGACTGCAGCGGCCCGTTTCTTTATCCTCAACTAAGCACAATGCAAATCCTGATGGCTTTACTGAGTGCCTATACTGACTTCTCTTGCAACAGCAAAACTTTACTTTTGTCTTTTTCCAGATCATTTATTTTTTGTGTCAAGTTGCAGTTTTTAAATTAGCCAAGTTCCTTTTGTTCAGGCGGCTCAGGTGCATTTTGGAGGAGAAATGCTCATCTTTTTGCCTCTTCTTTCTCCTGCTTTCTCTGAGGAAATAAAAATTATAAAAAAAAACCTTCAGGATGAGCTGATATCCTGGGCGCCGCCTATATTCTCTCCCTGTAGAACTAACTTGGCGTTTGTTGCTGTACTCGTTCTTCCCAGGTTGTGTGGGGTCTGCCTGTTACATTTCTGCTTCTATAAACCTCAGAAAGCAGAACAGAAATTCAACCTTTTTATTTTAAACCTTTTTTTTGTTCTTCCTGTCAAAGTTTTCTACTCTCTTCTAATTTCTCTGGGCTTTAAACGTTGACGCCACGGTGTCTCATTACTGTAAGCACTTTGTCACACTTTCCCTCTGTTACCTACCTTATTTATTTAACCCACCAGCCGCCGGTGAGTTTTAATCATACCTGCCTGTCTTCTGAAAGGCTCCAGATAAAGGCCTTCATGTCCGCCCTGTCTGTGTACCAGCCTCTTTAAGGAATGTGATTCTCACAGCATAAAGAAATATACAGAAACCTTGAACTCTGTGCCTCAACTGTTGATATGCGAATGTGAAAAAGAGCAGTCGGATGTGTTTTGTTTTTCTAAATAGTTTTATGTCCAGCTCTGGTTAGGGTAGACTTGGAGCGATGCACAGAGCTGTTTTTCTGCTTGTGGGTGCGTGGCTAGTGTACAGAAACTAACTGAAGTGGACTCAGCTGTTGTAAATGGTAAGAAAAAGCGACCGCTTGGCACCATTTTGAAATCTTAGTTGCTCTTTGTGTCAATGCACATGATTCCTTCTCTGTATGTAAAAGAAAAGCTTCTTTTTGTAAAGTCAGATTTGTCTTCTGCAAATGTAAGAGGAAATGATTTATTTTGAAAATGTCTGGTTAAGTGAATAAATTCTCACTGTTGTGCCTGATCTCTTCCTAATGGTGTAAGTGACTTGGTCTGTTGTATTGGTGATGCTTCTTGTGCTATGAGTCGTGGCAGCTCTATGTGCGCATTTCCCAGTTTGACTTTTTCCTTATAAAAGTCTATCATTTCCATCAGGAACTGTTAGCCACACTAAAGCGGCTTTTTTATAATCATTTATTTTCTTGTCAATGTTTTTAAGAGCCTAAGATAATTTAGATTTGATACAAATACTAGTGAATAAAGTAAAGTTTATTGTATGGCTGAGGGTGCCTCCCTCGTGACCCTGGACTCTTTCTGTTACATTTTACCTGATGGACCAACACAGAGTAGCTCATTACTGTGAAGCGAAAGGAAAATGATTTAATGGCTTTAATTCAGCCTCCCTCTTTGATTGAAAAATTACAACTACAATGAATTTTCTGTAAAAGTTTCCTCATTTTTAAAATAATCAATGAAAAAGAAAAGTTTTGAAAGCTTCATAGATTCATTAGAGACGATTAGTGAACAAAACTGAGCCTCTCGAGCTGCAACTAGTTCTTTAAAATGTTTCTGTGTTTAATGCCATATTTGCACTTAATTACCATAACAAAAGAAAACGAGTAAAGCAAGTATTGATTTGTCATTAGGTCATAAACATTTTGTTTCTTTTTTTCCATTGTTGATGAATATGTATGTTCTGTTAAATAAAATCCATTTCTCCTTTTTTGTGTGTATTTTCCTTTTTTTAAAGTCGTAGGGAAATTATATTTAAATGTCAAATCATTCTGGCTTAAACATGTATATAAATGTACTCTTATCAGATGATATTGTCCCAAAATTTAGAAATTTGTATTTAAAAAAAAATCCTGTCTTAAAAATCTTTTTTTTCCATTATCCTATGCAGGCCAGTTAGTTAAATGTCAGCTTGTACACCTAAATTTGGCCAATTTAGGCCATTTTCGTAGAACTGTGGTGACAAAGGCAAGCTTCAATGACTGTCTGAAACTGTAGCTCACCACGTAAAAGTGCGTAAAAAGATGGCAAACTGAGGACGAGCACATAGGACGACCTTACGTGAAAATATCACCAGAATGAGTGACAATTAGGAGGACCACTTATTTTGATGATTATCCTTCACTATACCTTTAACTATTCAAATTATTTTAAGCATGCTAGAAGCTTAGTTTTCTGATACATTATGTTGCTGAACTTCATTCCCATCGCTCTTGCAATAAGTGATCTTAATTAAAATTCTTAAAGGCATGCTTAGCCGCATGTTGTCATTGAACTGCTGGTTGTCCTGAAAACAATGGGCTACATTGATGATTGGAGATCCTGGTCTGATTTGGCCACTGCACCCTCCAAACTAACGTATGGTGCAGCTCTTCTTTCTAGGAAGTTTATTAGTCCTCCAAAACCCTGATGGCCCAGGAAGGACATTCAAAATTTAAAGCGCCTCTGTGCAGCTTCTTTACTGTTACCCACTCATTACTCCATCTAGTGTCTTGCCCACAACCAAAATCAAATCAAATTAGAAAAGAATCCTAAATCAGTAAATCATGAGAATCAAATAACTCCAATTGGGGGAAAAGTTTTTAACGGTTAAATGCGCTTTATCTAGCATCAGATCTCTTTCTTCAAAACTTCTGTTAGTTTATGACTTGATTTATGATAATCGCAATGATTTGTCTTACAGAAACTTGGCTGCAGCAAGAGGATTATGTGCGCATAAATGGACTAACTTCCCCTAGTTCTATAAATTTTCACATACCCAGAAATTACTTTGGTCTTGGTTACAGATTATGTCAACTCCTTTGGACATTTAACCCTTAGTTTCCCTCATCCAAATTGCAAAGAACAAAAGCTGTTCTTTTTTCACTTTGTATCATCCACCAATTCCTTACTCTGAATTTGTAGATCAGGTTTCAGAGTTTCTACAGGTGCTGGTCATAAAATTAGAATATCATGAAAAAGTAGATTGATTTCAGTAATTCCATTTAAAAAGTGAAACTTGTATATTATATTCGTACATTACATACAAACTCATATATTTCAGATGTTTATTTTGTTTAATTTTGATGATTACAAATGACAACAAATGAAAATCTCAAATTCATCATATCAGAAAATTAGAATATTACTGAAGACCAATAAAAACAAAGGATTTATAGAAATGTTGGCCAACTGAAAAGTATGAACATGAAAAGTATGAGCATGTACAGCACTCAGTATTTAGTTGGGCCTCCTTTGGCCTGTATTACTGCAGCAATGCGGCGTGGCATGGAGTCGATCAGTCTGTGGCACTGCTCAGGTGTTATGATAGCCCAGGTTGCTCTAATAGTGGCTTTTAGCTCTTCTGAATTGTTGGGTCTGGTGTATTGCATCTTCTTCTTCACAATACCCCATAGATTTTCTATGGGGTTAAGGTCAGGAGAGTTTGCTGGCCAATTAAGAACAGGGATACCATGGTCCTTCAACCAGGTACTGGTAGCTTTGGCACTGTGTGCAGGTGCCAAGTCCTGTTGGAAAATGAAATCTGCATCTCCAAAAAGTTGGTCAGCTGCAGGAAGCATGAAGTGCTCTAAAACTTCCTGGTATGTGGCTGCGTTGACCCTGGACCTCAGAAAACACAATGGACCAACACCAGCAGATGACATGGCACCCCAAACCATCACTGACTGTGGAAACTTTACACTGGACTTCAAGCAACGTGGATGAAGTGCCTCTCTTCTTTTCCTCCAGACTCTGGGACCTTGATTTCCAAAGGAAATGCAAAATTTACTTTCATCAGAGAACATGACTTTGGACCACTCACCAGCAGTCCAGTCCTGTTTCTCTTTAGCCCAGGCAAGACGCTTCTGACGCTGTCTGTGGTTCAAGAGTGGCTTGACACAAGGAATGCGACAGCAGAAACCCATGTCTTTCATACGTCTGTGTGTGGTGGTTCTTGAAGCACTCACTCCAGCTGCAGTCCACTCTTTGTGAATCTCCCCCACATTTTTGAAGGGGTTTTGTTTCACAATCCTCTCCAGGGTGCGGTTATCTCTCTTGCTTGTACACTTTTTTCGACCACATCTTTTCCTTCCCTTCGCCTCTCTATTAATGTGCTTGGACACTGAGCTCTGTGAACAGCCAGCCTTTTTAGCGATGAACTTTTGTGTCTTGTCCTCCTTGTGCAAGGTGTCGATGGTCGTCTTTTGGACAACTGTCAAGTCAGCAGTCTTCCCCATGATTGTGTAGCCTATAGAACTAGACTGAAAGACCATTTAAAGGCTTTTGCAGGTGGTTTCAGTTAATTAGCTGATTAGAGTGTGGCACCAGGGGCCATCAATTTTGAACCTTTTCACAATATTCTAATTTTCTGATATGATGAATTTGAGATTTTCATTTGTTGTCATTTGTAATCATCAAAATTAAACAAAATAAACATCTGAAATATATGAGTTTGTATGTAATGTATGAATATAATATACAAGTTTCACTTTTTAAATGGAATTACTGAAATCAATCTACTTTTTCATGATATTCTAATTTTATGACCAGCACCTGTATGTGATTTAGTGTTGAATACCCAAAGGGTCATCATAGTGGGGGTTTAATCATCAATGCGGTTATTGACAGTGATGGCTTAAATGCAGCCTTTAATGATTTAATCTTATCTTGTCTTTGTTCAAAATGTGAATAGTCCCACACATTGTCATTTTCATACTTTGAACCTTGTGCTGACATGGTATTGAATGTAAAGAAATACCAGTATTTCCTCTCTTAACACGATTTAGTAAATTTCCAAATAATTTGAGAGGTTTCTCCTCCTCCAGAAGAAGGTTTCACTTTAGCATATTATACGATAATACAGTTAGAAATTGTAAAGAATCTGTTCCACTTTTTGTCTTCCCTGTTTCACCGAACAATACTGCAGAAGGCAACCATTTCATGTATTCACCTTCACAAATGTATGATCTTGTTAATGGAGTTACTAGCTCCCTGAGTAGAAAATATAATCACTATAAAAAAGAAAAATTTTAAAAAGTAAAGCTGGCTCTTTGGTTTTATACAGAGCTAAACATTTAACACAACGCTAAGAAACTGGAGAGAAAATTATGCTCTATATGTCTAAGGGCATCCTACCTAGTCTGGAAAAAACTGTTTACTGCTGAATACAATGACCATTCGTCATTTTATACAGCAGTAAAAGGACACAGCTGTCATATAGAGCTTTTGTATCTCTGCTTCTTTCTGTATATCTACTTTTATCTCCTTGAACACCAGATGGCCACGCACACTGAGCATGGTCTACTGGAGGTTTCTTTCAGTTAATGGGAGTTTTCCTCTCCAATGTCGCTAAAAGCATGCTCTGTGTAAGAGATTGCCGTTGAGTCAATGAGTCGATGCAAACAGCTGGTTTTGATCGAAAACTGAATCAATCTGACTGTATGATCTGGTTGAATTGTCTCTGTAAATTGCCTTGAGGTAACATGTGAATTGCCACTATATGAACGGACTGAATTTAATTGAGTTGACTTTACCAGCTGGCATCCTCTGGTTAACAGCAGAATGGGATAAATTGACCCCTTGCTCCACAGTCTAACTTCTTTGTGTTTTTGTAGTTGAGTAAAAGCTTGTGGAAGAGATCAGGGGTGGAATAAATGAACCATTAGTCTCAATCTGTCCAGCTGACCTGTTTCCTGTGGTGCATAACAGATCAGTCCTCCACTTCCAGCACTGTATCTGGAAGCCAGATTAAAGGGGCATATTGAACAGCTCCATTAGGACCTAATGCTGCCTTTTGGGATTAAAACCGACGCCATGAATGGAAGGATGGGAGACATCCGCTCCATTTGGGCAGCTGAATTTCTAAATTCCTGTATCTAATAAGTCTTTCCAGTAATATGTTTATGTAAACAATGAGTTTTCTTGTTGGTGCTTTCAGCAATTAGATAAATAAAAGTTGGGCTGCCATCCAAATACTAGCTGCTACCATACTTCTAATATCATGTTCTAGATCTTGTCTTTTTATTCCTTTATGTGTTCTTCCTACATGTTAAATGACTGCCCCAGAATTCATCAGATAGCTAGCCTCCTGGCTCCCTTCTCAGCAATAAGAACTCTATCCTGGGCAGAACAGGAAGTCCAGACAGCTGAGGTGATTCTGAACAGCCTAACACGTATGTTGTTAAGCGTCTGAAAAATGAACGATACTGGACTACGGCCTTCCAAGAAAAAAAAACAAAAAGCAAGTTACACAAAGCAAAACACCTGAAGCTGCATGTGTCACACAGGAGACACATAAAGAGATATATTTTATTTTAATAGAGATGGACTGGACAAATCCTCCGCTGATCCCCTCTTAAAGCTGGATCTAAATATATTTAGCGTAACTTTAGTTTTTTTCTTTGAAACTGTTTCACTAAAACAGATCCCTCCCTGCTTGTCATTCTTACTCAGCCTCATCCTCTGTGTTCGCTAAACGTCTTTAGGTCAAATTTGAAAACAGGGTTGAAATTCATCAAGTGTTTAATTTTAGTTTTAAATGTTTCTACATGGTTTTAATCACTTTCCACCTTGCTGGTGTTAATGATCGTCTTTCCTAGTTGATGAATTTAAGTGACACAAAATGCAAATTAGGGGATGATGTAATCTAGTGACCTTTGGGACGGCCAATAGTGACTCTCTTACCTGAAGAGTTGGCAGCAGTGACCTGAGCTCCCTATGCTTTGATGTGAAC